CGAGTCATATTTGGTTTTGTTCATTGACAAGCGAGTCATATTAGGTTTTGTTCATTGACAAGCGAGTCATATTAGGTTTTGTTCATTGACAAGTGAGTCATATTAGGTGTTGTTCATTGAAATGTGAGTCATATTTGGTTTTGTTCATTGACAAGCGAGTCATATTTGGTGTTGTTCATTGACAAGCGAGTCATATTAGGTTTGTTCATTGACAAGCGAGTCATATTAGGTTTGTTCATTGACAAGCGAGTCATATTTGGTTTTGTTCGTTGACAAGCGAGTCATATTTGGTTTTGTTCAGTGACATGCGAGTCGTATATTGGTTATTTGCTCAATTATGTTTGGCTTTGTTTAGTGACTTAATGCGAGGCATATGTAAGTCATATTAGGCTTTGTTCAGTGACTTGCTAGTCTTAATCAGTTTTGTTCAGTGACTTGCTAGTCTTAATCAGTTTTGTTCAGTGACTCGCGAGTCATTTTGGGCTCTATTCAGTTTTGTATAAGCAACCAATGTATTGTGCATGCATTGTATTTTGAAAAAAATGTGTAGAACCAGAGGTACATTACTTGGGGTCTGCAAGTAGCGTGACATGATACCAAGATCCCGTTTAAATCTAGCTCTCGCATGAGCGTTCCAAACACAGAACAATGCGAATGCGCATGCCCAAGGTAACTAGGATACTGGGAGGTTCAGGTGGATAAAAATAACTGCTTGAAATATGACGGATTACGAGAACTATATTTTCTGTACATTTTCGATGTATTACATTTTTTAACCTAGATAGTGGTAAGACATGTTTTATTACAAACCTTGAACATTGATATATTTTTGTATCTACAAGATGAGACTTGAATAGGATCTTGACATGATGTCAGCATACAGTACTATGCACGTTGCAAACCCCAAGTAATGTACCTCTGATAGGACCCATTTTGAACATGATACGGTACAACAACCACCATCTCATAATAGCTAAAGTGTCTATCATCTGACTTAAGCTTAAATAATACAAGTCCATTACTATCAGTTTCCTTTGGTGGTTTCAGACACTTCCTCTCTTGTCAACTCTTGACATACCGGTACATCCCTGATATGCTCCCCAGGATAACTCGTCTATTGTTATTAGGCTTAGAAAAAATCATTTAAGTGATGCGGTTGTTGTACCACATCTTGTTTTGATATGAGCTTGATGTAATGTTTATTTACCCAGAATTCAAATATGAGCTGCACAACGATCATGACTCTTAAGTACATGTATGTGCATATCATAGTGTTGTTTGGTGTGAAATGAAAAAAAAAATCCTCCATTTGAATGTCAAAATAAACTTCATGGAAATAAGTCTTATCCTTTTTTTCTATATCAAAAATTGATATCAAGAGCTGCAACTAATAGGGAATTGATTTAAAATTTACAAAAAAAGATAAAAAATATATATAAATTCGCAAAAAGTTTGCAAACAAAATTTTCTTATTCAAATGGTTAAAAACAATTCCTATTATGGTATATGTATGATTATCATACTAAATGAAATCACAGCCATTTTTGATTCATTTGTTTTATATACAAATGGTAAATTCACACATAATATAATTGTTTTCTTTCAGTTAAATTTATCTAAAGAAAGGAAAAAAACACAAGCCGAACAAGCAGGTAAACTGTATATTTCATCAATAGTAGAGTTTTTGTATTTAAATCACCTTGTACTTATTCTTGTCATTTTGATATTAAGAAGTCAAATTTAGGATTATATGCCATTTTGCCACCTATTTTAGCTTCATTGTCATCAAGGATAACAGAGTTGAGCTGTTCATTTAGGTGACTGTCTGTCGTCCGTTCGTCTGTTTGTCATCTGTCATTTGTCAACTATTCTATTTTGGACTTCTTAAAAACTACCAGCCTAATTACACTTTGGGTGGACTTCTTGCCAGATTTGATTCAGTGTGGAATGATTGAAGATGACAGAGTGGAGCTGCTCATTTAGAAGATTGTCTGTCGTCCGTTCGTCTGTCTGTCATCTGTCATTTGTCAACTATTCTATTTTGGACTTCTTAAAAACTACCAGCCTAATTACACTTTGGGTGGACTTCTTGCCAGATTTGATTCAGTGTGGAATGATTGAAGATGACAGAGTGGAGCTGCTCATTTAGAAGACTGTCTGTCGTCCATCCGTCTGTCTGTCATCTGTCATTTGTCAACTTTTCTATTTTGGACTTCTTGAAAACTAGCAGCCTAATTACACATTTGGTGGACTTCTTGCCATATTTGATTCAGTGTGGAATGATTGAAGATGACATAGTGGAGGTGTTCATTTAGGTGACTGTCTGTCCATTGTCCATCTGTCTGTCCATTGTCCATCTGTCTGTCTGTCATCTGTCATTTGTCAACTTTTCTATTTTGGACTTCTTGAAAACTACCAGCCTAATTACACATTTGGTGGACTTCTTGCCATATTTGATTCAGTGTGGAATGATTGAAGATGACATAGTGGAGGTGTTCATTTAGGTGACTGTCTGTCCATTGTCCATCTGTCTGTCTGTCATCCGTCATTTGTCAACTATTCTATTTTGGACTTCTTGAAAACTACCAGCCTAATTATTTTGATCCTTGGGTGGACTTCTTGCCAGATTTAATTCAGGGTGGAATGATTGAAGATGACATAGTGGAGGTGTTCATTTAGGTGACTGTCTGTCCATTGTCCATCTGTCTGTCTGTCATCCGTCATTTGTCAACTATTCTATTTTGGACTTCTTGAAAACTACCAGCCTAATTATTTTGATCCTTGGGTGGACTTCTTGCCAGATTTAATTCAGGGTGGAATGATTGAAGATGACATAGTGGAGGTGTTCATTTAGGTGACTGTCTGTCCATTGTCCATCTGTCTGTCTGTCATCCGTCATTTGTCAACTATTCTATTTTGGACTTCTTGAAAACTACCAGCCTAATCACTTTGATCCTTGGGTGGACTTTTTGCCAGATTTAATACAGTGTGGAATGATACAGATTAGTTAAATATGTTCAATAGACTGGAAGTGTAGCCTTGAATTCAAACAACCGTAAAATACTTTTTGGGTGTTTTGTTTTAAATTTATTTTCACTGATTTTTGACAAGTTGAATGAAAAATATAGGAAAAAAGATATATATTTGCTAGATTTTATTTTCACTGAATAATTCCATAATAAAAGAAATTCAAATTCAATATGATCATTACATATATTTGTTACAGACCAAGCATATCAAAGATCTATTGAACACCTTGAAGAAATACGAAAGAAATGGGAAAAAGATTTTACACAGGGCTGTGTGGTAAGATCATAACTTAGTGCTGATAGTGGTGCTATGTTCTCTTCAAATAATGTGTCATGCTAGGCACCATCAGAGCAAAAATAAAAATTAAAAAGCACAACCAATTCCTAATATTTTGCTGAGTGTAAGAAACCATCAAATAAATGACAACAAACAAACAAAAAAATCAGGGTTATTTGAACTTGTTGCTATGGAAACTATGACTCGTTTTTTAGTAAATACATTTTTAGTAAATTTTAGCTTCAAAAAATCTCACCTGCATTCATTTCAATTTTTTATCAAGATTATTCAATACCACAAGATATGTATTTAACATGTTTTAAGTGATTCTTTCAAATACATTTGTTAAAGTTTGTTTTGGATTCGTGACAAAAAACTTTCTACTGTATATAACACATTTCACCACCAAATGTGTCATGCATACAATAATTAAAAGCAAATCCTTTATTTTCTGGATTCATTGTTATCAATTATTTCTTTTTATACGACTTACTTTTCAACCAATTTCAGATATTCCAGTCACTGGAAGAGGAACGGATACAATTCCTTAGAAATGCTCTCTGGATACAAACTAACATTGGTTCATCTTATTGTTGTAAAGAAGACCAGGTAAATATGCCCTATGCATGACCCCTAAAGGTCAAACATCCTGGTACTATACATGACCCCTAAAGGTCACACATCCTGGTACCATGCATGACCCCTAAAGGTCACACATCCTGGTACCATGCATGACCCCTAAAGGTCACATATCCTGGTACCATGCATGACCCCTAAAGGTCACACATCCTGGTACCATACATGACCCCTAAAGGTCACACATCCTGGTACTATACATAACCCCTAATGGTCACACATCCTGGTACTATACATGACCCCTAAAGGTCACACATCCTGTTAGTATGCATGACCACTTAAAGTTAAACATGCTGGTACTATGCATGACCCCAGAAGGTAACATATAATTGTACTATGCTTAACCCCCTAAAGGTTGAACATCCTGGTACTATGCATGACCCCCTAAAAGTCACATATCCTGGTACTATGCATGACCCCCTAAAAGTCACATATCCTGGTACTATGCATGACCCTAAAGGTTAAACATCCTGGTACTATGCATGACCCGAAAGGTTAAACATCCTGGTACTATGCATGACCCTAAAGGTCACACATCCTGGTACTATGCATGACCCCCTAAAGGTCGCACATCCTGGTACTATCCATGACCTCTTAAGGTTAAACATCCTGGCACTATGCAAAAAACACAAAAAAATACAAAACAAGAAATTTGAATGTAAAGAAAAGAAGAAAAAAATTAAATTATTTGGTGGTTGGTTTGAGGCATCTGGCATTTTAGGATTTTGCTTGTCGCGCGTTACTGTTTCAGTGATTTTTTTGTCATCAAGAGATTTATGGTTTTTGCAAATATTTCCCATATTTAAATTTTCTAAAATTTGTTTAATGTCTGTTACCCTTTTCCTTTTTAGCTCCTTTTTACCTTGGACCTCTCTTAGGTTTGTTTATTTCATGTTGATATCTTCAATTCTCTAATTTTGGTGAATATTTTTGTCATTTTTGGTAAAAAGTGATAATTTCGACGTCTTGTTAAAAAACGCAAGTTCAATTGCTTTGATATTACATATATAGATACTACATGTAGACCTTTCTCAGATTTGTTCATTTTGTGATGATATCTTCAATTCTCTAATTTTGGTGAATATTTTTGTCATTTTTGGTAGAAAGTGATATTTTCGACTTCTTGTTAAAAACTGTAAGTCCGATTGCTTTAATACTATGCATATTGTTCATTTTCTAATGATGTCTTCAGTTCTTTAATTGAAATGTGCATTGCTAACAGCGGAGCTATCTCAGCAGATAGGCTGCTTGTTTATCAAGATGGGTTTCAAGATTGAAAGCTTTATGTACTAACGAATTTGGATTAGAATTATTTATTTTGTTCCAATATTTGATCATATATTTTAAGCTTGTTGCTAGGAGAGGATATCTTCCCAACTCTAGTAGGCTTGCTAAATTACTTGCTTTGCTATTTACTTTTAGAAGGTATTTGTACTTTTTCCATTGGTGTAGACAGATTTGCCATAAGATGCATTTTGTTGATGTTCTCACTCGTCCAAATTTCACTGCAGTAAAGCATAATTGGTTTTACAATTGCATCAACAACAAGTATGTTTTGATTGGAATTAGTTTTTCTGAGAAGAGCATTTGTTTCATTTTGAAACATGCCTTCTTTGCTCTAGCTCTGAGGTCTTCTTGTGCTCTGATGAATTTACCTGATTTGTGTAGTTTAATGCCGAGGTACATGTATGTGTAGGGTTTTGTTTTTTCAAATTCCTTCCCATCAACATAGAATTTGAATTTGCCGATTTTTGACTTAGAGATATTAATATTGAGTTTCCATTTCTGACAGTAAGTTTCAAGAGAATTTATGGCATTTTGTAAGCCGGTATGTGATTGGGACAATACTACGAGGTTGTCTGCATACAGCAGACATGGGAGACTTGTGTTTAAGAGACTTGGCGAGTCATTACGAGCCAATGATGTTTTAATGTCATTTACATAGATATTGAAAAGAAGTGGGCTGAGTCCATCCCCTTGTCTAATGACTCTATTAATTGTGAAACTGTCTGTTAGACCCTGTTAAAGTTTAACACATCCTGTTGAGTTCAGATAATATGTAGCAGGCAATGCCCGACGAGCGAGGGCAGCCTAGTAGTATATAGCTTTATAACTGTCGTAACCTTAGAATGTTGAAGCATATGAACAGCAGAAATCAAGAAACCAAGATGTTATAAATTATATTTTGATTGTTGTATATGAATAAAAAACTAGTTTATTATATATTACAAACATTTTATAAACTTTCAAAGGTATTGTGGATACCTACATGTATAACCAGGATGTCAAACCATTGATGTTTCTGTACTTTATTTGGAACAAGTGGCTTCAACATTTGTTTTAAAGTACAGTGTGTTGTGAAGTTTTTGCTTGCAAAATAACAAAAATTGAAGCTGTTTCATCTCCTACCACAGTATTATGAAGATGTCAGAAAACTATTAGAGATATGTGATGAAACCAAAGACATACAACAGTTCATCAAAAATTCAAATACAGGCAAAGTACCTCCAGGTGAGAACTAGTTGATGCAGAGGGTTGCCTTGGCAACATCTATCTTCTAAACTACTGTTAGCCAATTAATTTTTGATGTATCGTATTGTAGTATAATAGTATCGTCATTTTGTACTTGACAGCAATTTTTTTAGCTCCGCTGTCGACTTTGTCGAACGGAGCTTATCATATGAGTGATTGTCCGTCCTCGTCCGTGTAAATGTTTTACTTTTTCGTCTTCTTCTTAAAAACTACAAGTCTGAATGCTTTGATACTTGGTGTATATGCACCTTGGGTAGATCGACCTCTCTTAGATTTGCTTAATTTGCATAATTTTCAGCTTTTGATATTTCAGTAC